TCTTTTATAGTCTTTGCATTATTGTGCTGTTAACTATTTCTCTTCCTTAATTTCTGATCTTATGTATTTGAGTTCTCTTTTTTTAAATGAGCCTAGTTAAAGGTTTATCAATTTTCTTGATCTTTTCAAAGAACCAGCTCTTGTTTCATTGATCTGTTCTGCTGTTGGGTTTTTGTTTTTATTCTCTATTTCTTTTATTTTTGCTCTAATCTTTATTATTTTCTTCATTCTACTGGCTTGGGACTTTTCTTGTTCTTTTTCTAGCTTTTTTAGACGTAAGGTTCAGTCATTGTTTTGAAATTTTTCTTGCTTCTTGAGGTAGGTCTGTATTGCTATAATCTTCCTTAAGATTATTAAGAACAGCTTTTGCTGCATACCAAGGATTTTGGACCATTGTGTTTTTATTTTCATTTGTCTCCATGTATTTTTTATTTCCTTTTTGATTTATTGGTTGACTCATTCATTATGTATTAGCATTTTTTCTAGCCTTCTTGTATTTGTGTTCTCTCCAGATGTTTTCTTGTGATTGATTTCTAGATTCATACAATTTTAGTTGGAAAAGATGCATGATATGATTTCAATTTTTTTGAATTTTGAGGCTTGTTCTGTGGCTTAATGTGATCTATTCTGGAGAATGTTCTATGTACACTAGAAGAGAATGTGTATTCCTCCATTTTAGGATGGAATGTTCCGAATATATTTATAAGGTCCATCTGGTTTCATGTATCATTCAAAACCACTTTTCCTTGTTAATTTTCTGTCTGAATGATCTGTCCATTGATGTAAGTGGGGTGTTAAATTTCCCTACTATTATTGTATTGCTATTGATTTCTTTTATATCTTTTAATAGTTGTTTTATGTATTTAAGTGCTCCCATGTTGTGTGAATAAATATTTAACAATTGGTATATCTTGTTAGACTTAAAAATATATATTATGTAGTGTCCTTCTTTGTCTCTTGTTGCAGAGTTTGTTTTAAAGTTTATTTTTCTGCTAAAACTATTGCTACACCAACTTTCTTTTCAATTCCACTTGCAGTGTAAATGTTTCTCCATCCCTTTGCTTTCAATCTGCATGTGTTTTTAGGTCTGAAATGAGTCTCTTGTACACAGCATTATAGATGGGTTGGACTTTTCTATCCATTCAGTTACCCTATGTCTTTTGATTGGAGCATGTATTCAATTTGTATTCAAAGAAATTGTTGATAGGTATGTACTTATTGCTATTTTGTTACTTGTTTAATGTTTATTTTTGTAGTTCTTCTCTGTTCCCTTTTCTCTTGCTCTCTTCCCTTGTGGTTTGATGGCTTTCTTTAGTGAAATGCTTGGATTCCTTTTCTTTATTTTTTTTTTTGTATCTATTACACGTTTTTGATCTGTGGTTACCATTCAGTTCGTATATAAGATCTTATGCATCTATATTAATTTTGATTGTCACTTAAGTTTGAATCCATTCTAAAAGCCCTAAGTTTTACTCCCCCCTCCATGTTTTATGTATATGATGTCATACTTTACATCCTTTTGTTTTGGGAATCCCTTGTCTGATTTTTATAGATAAAATTGATTTTACTGCTTTTGTGTTTTAATCTCCATACTGGTATTATAAGTGATTAATCTCCTACTTTTATTTTATTACGTTTGTATTTACATGTAAAATTTTTTCCTTTTCTAATTTTTTTATTTTTGACTCTGGCTTTTCCTTTCCAGTCAAAGAATTCCCTTTAACATTTCTTATAAGGCTGGTTTAATGGTGATTTTTTTTTTTTCTGAGAGGCTCTTTATCCCTCTTTTTATTCTGAATAATAGCCTTGCTGGATAGAGCATTCTTGGTTGCACATGTTTACCTCTCAGCATTTTTAATATATCATGCCACACCCTTCTGGCCTGCAGTTTCTGCTGAAAAGTCAGCTGATAAATTTATGGGGTTTCCCTTGTATGTAACTTGTTTTCTCTTACTGCTTTTCAAATTCTCTATCACTATTTTTGTCATTTTAATTAGTATGTCTCTTGGTATAGACCTCCTTTGGTTGATTTTGTTGGATTTTCTCTGTGCCTCCTGGATCTGGATTTCTGTTTCCTTCCCCAGATATGGGAAGATTTTAGCTTTTATTCCTTTAAATAAATTTTCTGCCCCCTTTTCTCTCTCCTCTGCTTCTGGTATCCCTATAATGCAAATTTTATTACACTTTATTACACAAATTTATTATTACTGATGTTGCTGAGTTCCTTTAACATATTCTCATTTTTTATTCTTTTTCCTTTTTGCTGTTTAGTTTGTTTGCTTTCCATTGTTTTGTCTTCCAGCTCACTGGTCTGTTTTACTGCTTATTCTAGTGTTCTATTTATTCCTTCTATTGTATTTTTAATTTCAGTTATTGAGTCATTGGTTCTTTTTTTATATATTTTTTATCTCTTTGTTGAAGGTCTTGCTGAGATCCTCCACTCTTTTCTCAAGTCTATTAAGTATATTTATTACCATTACTTTGCAACCTTTATTGGGCATTTTGCTTATCTCTATTTCATTTAGCTCTTTTGCTGTGATTTTGTCCTGTTCTTTCATTTGGGACATATTCTGCTGTCTCGTCATGTTATTAACTCTCTGTGTTTGTTTCTATGTATTAGGAAATTCAGTTCTTTCTCCTGATCTTAAAGGAGTAGCCTCATGAAGAACAGATACTGTGGTGCCCTGTAGGACAATGTCCCCTATTCTCTACAACCAGGCACTTTAGGGGTGTCTCCTATGTAGATTGCCTGTGCCCTACTATTCTGGCTAATCCTCATTTGCCTTCAATTCAGAAGGCTAATCCTCCTTTGCCTCTGTTAAGCAGGGTTTGGTTCCTGTGCTGTTAAGAGCCCAGTCTGGGGCCACCATGAGCTTGTAAGTCTGTTGTATCAGCCTTCACACCTGATGCCTGCTTTCAGCCTGTTTGCTGGGGCTACAGTTGCACTGAACTACTGTCTTTCTGCTGCCCCGAGAGGATTTTGTTGCTGGGAGTGTCTAACAGTCATATCAGATGCTTGCCCCCCACTCTGTCTGTAGGCTGCAGGTGCACTGATTGGCAAGGCATTCTTTCAGTGCTGCCAGTGATAAGATTCCACTGCTGGAGTTGAAGTTGAACTGGTGTGTGTGATTATATTCCATTCTGTCCCAGAACAGGAGTCACTTTGGAGTGGTGCCAGTCCCTGCTGTGGATGCTTGCAGCTTTGATACAGCAGGAACCATTTTGGAGGGACTTCTGCCTGGTGGGGCAGGTTGGATAGGGCGCTGTAGGAGAATATGGGCATGGGACATGGGTGTTAGCAAGATGGGTGGGAGGTTCAAATTGGTTCCCACCAATTTGTGGTGGGAACCAATAGTGTCTGACTATCTAGGCTGAGGGGAGAGAAATGGCACTTGCCAGTTCATTCTCCTAAAGATACCTGTCCATCCAGCACACATTTTGAGATTAGTAAATAAATTTCCTTCATATCCCTAGGCACTTTTCAAACTGCTGCTTCCATGTTCTGTCTCAGTGGGGTTGTTATGCTGTCTCTTTAAGGGTGGGAACTCAATTTCCTATTGCTCTCTGGCTCTCCCAGACATGAGTCTGGTGATTTTTAAAGTAACCAGAATTAAAACTCCGCTGGTTTTCAAAGCCAGATGCTATGGTGATTCATCTTTCCAGTGCAGGTTCCCTGTGTCTGTGGTGCCTAGCGTGGGGTCTCCTCCTCTCCATTTTCCATGCCTGGGGTATTTCTCCCATTCGTAGTTAATATCACTGGGGGTTTGGTTCTCAATTGTGTCCCTACCCATTTTACCCTTTTTGATGTGGCCTCCTATCCATGATTAATGTGGAAAGGCTTTTCTGCCAGTCTCAGATCATTTTTGTGTTGGTTATACTAATGTGGCTGTTATGTAAGTACATCCCTGGATGAAGTGAGTTTAGGATCCTCCTACTCTGCCATCTTCCCAGAAGTCCAACATAAATCAATCTTGTTTTGAGGAAAATTACTCTAAGTATGATTTCGTAGCCTGAAAAATAAGGGAAAGATCATTAAAAATTAACTAAATAATAATTTAAAATTTCTGTACACAGAATTATCAAAAGCAAAATTAAAAAGAAATAATAATCTAAAAAATAAACACTCATGATAGTCAACAGGTATATCCTTATATGAAATACATATGTCTGTCTATAAAAATATTTAATGTTCATATTTAGATTATTTTTAATAAAATTTTTTATTAAAATAAGTTAGAAAAAAATGAATTCCTTTAACAGAGAAAATGGCAGATATTTTTTTACTTATTAATCAAGTAGGTTTATACTAATAATGAAATAAATTCCATTAAATAATTTATAAAATACCAAATACCTAAACTACATAATATCAATTGGGAAAAGTGTGAGAAAACAGCTGTCACTATTACAGGCAAATAGGCATAATGACTAAACACTTTCAGGAAAGCTATATAAAAAAATGTATCAGTTATAATAAAAATATACTAATAGATATCAGTGGACTTTGAGCCAGATATATTTTTTCATTTTCTTAAAATTTAATGTTTTATAATAAAAAAGTCTGTATGACAAATCTGTTCTGACAAGCCTATATGTATATTAGCTGAAATTTTTCAAATTTCTGTTTTAAATAATACTAACATTACCAGACCTTGGTAATTACTAAATGGCAATGAGTTACATTTTTATTTTGTTCACAATTTTAATAAGAATATCTATTTATGCTTCACTATAAATCAAGATGTTAGGTGTTGGATTGAAATAGAAACATATTCTATATTAAAGAGTAAATGTCTAGGAGGAAGAGCTGTTGAAATTTGTCAAATGAACTTATGGTATTTATTAATTATTTTTTCTCTTCTTACTTGACATAATACATAAGAATATTTTCCTAAACTTCAGATATTATACTCTTCTAGGAAGTAGGCCACAGTAGGTAGATTTCAAATGTTTCTATATTTAATTTACTAAAATGTTCTTTTCCATTTTCATCTTGGTAGATCAGAATATGGATGAACTCTCAGATTTTACACTTGAAGATCTAGAACTCACTTCAGGATACGAGGATCAATGTCAAACAAGTGGAGTTAATCAATCTCAAAGATTGAGTGGTGTGTATAATATTTGAAAATGTATTTAAAAATAGTGGTCATAAAACACTTGATGATTTAAAAATGCATCTGAAATGTGATCAGCTTTTTAAAAAATTATTTATTTTTTGTATAATCTCTACACCCACTGTGGGGCTTCAACTCACAGCCCCAAGAGCAAGAGTTGTATGCTCTACTGACTTAGCCAGCCAGGTACCCCAAATATGGCCAGCTTTATTTATGGTTAATTATTGAATTTTTCTTTAGGTTGCATATTTTAGAACATTTTCCGACAAAACTGGAGTTCTACAGTACTAGTAAATGCTATAATGCTATTTGCATCACTCATTATTTCTCATAGTCTTTAATATTCTTTTTTTTAAAGATTTTATTTATTTATTTGAGAGAGAGAGAGAATGAGAGATAGAAAGCACGAGAGGGAAGAGGGTCAGAGGGAGAAGCAGACTCCCTGCTGAGCAGGGAGCCCAATATGGGACTCGATCCCGGGACTCCAGGATCATGTCCTGAGCCAAAGGCAGTCGCTTAACCAACTGAGCCACCCAGGCGCCCAGTCTTTAATATTCTTAATTGTTATACTATATTTCTTAAATTATTGACCAAGAAAGCCTATCTTTTTCTTCATCTTGGAATAATGTTTCATGGCAATGGAATACTTGTTTAGGAAACATTGTGCTAGGAATTTTATTCTTTTTATTTTTTAAAAAAGATTTAAGGGAGGAGGCAAGATAGTGGAAGAGTAGAGAACCTCATTTCATCTAGTCCCTTGATTTTAACTAGATAACAGATCATTCTGAACACCCAAGAATTCAACCTGAGATGTAAGAAAAGAATCTCTGGAACTCTGCAACTAGAAAAGTGACCACTTTTTGCAAGGTTGGAGGTGCAGAGAAGTGAATCTGAGGGGAGATATTGGAAGATAAGTGGTGAGGGAAGGGAGCCCCCATAATCCAGCTACCAGAAAGTGATATAGCCCTGGAGGGCAAAATTGGAACCCTTAGAAATCTCCAGTGAGAGACACTCCTGCCTGAAAGGTGGTCAGGGGATGAAATGGGCAGAATTCTAAGTGGGACAGTGTAGGTCTCAGGATCCCCAGGTCACAGAATAAATGGGGGTACCTGAGGTGATACAGTTCCTAAGCAGTGGATCAGGGAAACTGGTTATTGTCAGTGAACCCAGGAAGGGGCTCTTAGCTCAGTTTGCCATAAATCGCTAGCTGGGGCCTGATCTGGTGACCGCTTTCCTCTGGGGGACCCTGCAGAGGACTGGAACACAGGGACCCTCCGACATCCCCTTGGAGGGGCAGAACAGGTGCACACATGACCAGGCAACAGCTCTCAGGGTGGGGTCCATGTAAAGGACAGTATCCTGTGATCCTTCTCCTTCCCCCCAGGAGGGGCCAATTGGGTTTGCACAGGATCCAGCAACTGCTCTCAGTGCCAGGGACTTACAAAATGCGGTAACTCAGGACCCTCCAACTGCCCCCAGGAGGATTGCTGTGGGCACACAACACAGGAATCTTAAGAGTTTGGCACACCTAAAAGTGAAGACCGCTTATCCCTGAGGGTTTACTCAAGAGAGGGGACCATGATCATTCAGCTCTGAGACTGGAGATCGGGGTGTGGCCATTTTCATTTTGATCCTCTAAAGAGGTGCATAAAGCTTTCAGGGAAAAAAAGCCACACAGAGGAATAGCTTATACTGAGTCTGGCCTCCTGGCAAGGGATGGTATAATTCTGCCCAAGCAAAGACACCTGAAAAGCAGTGAAGTAGGCCTTGCCCTCAGAAGACCAACTGAAAGAACAGATGCACAGGGAGACCCCACAAGACTGTAAAACTCCAGCACTAGGGGAAAATAGTATATAGAATTAAAGTTTTTTTCCCCTCATAATTCATTTATCTTTCAGTTTAAATTACAATTTCCACTAGTTTCAGATTTTATCAACTCTTTAAGTCTTTTTTTAACATTCATTTTTTACATTTACATCTTATAGATATATTTTTCATTTTGGCTTCCTATCACTCTATTCAATTTTATTTTTGTATATCTATAAATTTTGTTTTCTTTACAATTTGGGATTAGTGTCTTCTAACACACAGATCAAAATACATTCATGATCAATTGGATCACCCTGTTTTGTCCACCCGGTAAGATTATATTCTCTTCCCCCCCCTCAACCTTTTTGTTTTTCTTTTCTTTTTTGGTGTCTGACCTCTACAGATTTGTCTAGTGTGTACTTTGCTTGGGTTGTGGTTGATATTTTTGAATCTGCTCACTCGTTCATCCATTCTTCTCTGGGCAAAATGACTAGAAGGAAGAATTCACAACAAAAGAAACAACCAGAGGTAATACGGTCTTCCACAGATCTAATTGATAAGGATATAAGTAGAATGTCAGAACTGGAATTCAGGATAACAATTATAAAATTACTAGTTGGACTTGAAAAAAGCATAAAAGACACTAAAGAATCTCTTAGTGCAGAAATGAGATCTAATCAGGCTGAAACTAAAAATGCTCTGAGATGTAGTCTAAATTGGATGCTCTAACAGCTAGGGTAAATGAAGCAGAAGAGAGAGTAAGTGACATAGGAGACAAGTTGAAGGAAGAAGGAAGAGGGAAGCTGAGGAAAAGAGAGAAAAACAACTAATAGGCCATGAGGAGAGGCTTCAAGAAATCAGTGATGCTATAAAATGGCCCAATATAAGAATTGTTGGAGCGCCTGAGGGGAAAGAGAAAGAAAGGGCCAGAAGGTGTATTTGAGCAAATCAAAGCTGAAAATTTCCCTGATCTGGGAAAAGAAACAGGCATTCATGTAGAGGAGGTAGAGAGGACTCCCCACCCCAAAAAATTCAATAAAAATAGATCAACACCCTGACATATAATAGTGAAGCTTGCAAGTTTCAGAGATAAAGAGAAAATCCTGAAAGCAGATCAAGACAAGAAGTTCCTAACCAAGAGAAGTAGGAACATTAGACTTATATCAGACCTATCCACAGAGACCTGGCAGGCCAGAAAGAGCTGGCATGATATATTCAGGATAGTAAATGAGAAAAACATGGACCCAAGAATACTATATCCAGCAAGGCTGTCATTCAGAATGGAAGGAGAAATAAAGAACTTCCAGGACAGACAGAAACTGAAAGAATATGTGACCACCAAACTAGCCCTGCAAGAAATATTAAGGGGGATCCTGTAAACAAAGAGAGAGCCCAAGAGTAACATAAACGAGACAAAAACAGAGACAATCTACAGAAACAGGGACATTACAGGTAATACAATGGCACTAAATTCATGTCTTTCAATAGTTAGCTCTGAATGTAAGTGGGCTAAATGCTCCAATCTAAAGATACAGGATATCAGACTGGATAAAAAAACAAGATCCATCCATATGCTGTCTATAAGAGACTCACTTTAGACCTAAAGACACCTCCAGACTGAAGTGAGGGGGTAGAGAACCATTTATCATGTTAATGGACCTCAAAAGAAAGCTGGGATAGCCATCCTCATATCAGACGTATTAGATTTTAAACCAAAGATGGTAGTAAGGGATGAAGAGGGACACCATATCATATTTTAAGGGCCTACCCAACAAGAAGATCTAACAATTATAAATATTTATGCTCCTAAATTGGGAGCAGTCAATTATATCAACCAATTAATACCCAAATTAAGGAAACACATAGATAATAATGCAATAATAGTAGGGGACTTCAACACCCCACTCACAGCAATGGACAGATCATCTAAACAGAAGATCAACAAGGAAACAAGAGCTTCGAATGACACATTGGACCAGATGACTTCACAGATATGTACAGAACATTCTATCCTAAAACAACAGAATACTCATTCATCTTGACTGCACATGGAATGTTCTCCAGAATACACCACATTCTGGGTCACAAATCAGGTCTCAACCTATACAAAAAGACTGAGATTATTCCCTGCATATTTTCAGACCACAGTGCTTTGAAACTGGAACTCAACCACAAGAAGAAATTTGGAAGGAAATCAAACACTTGGAAGTTAAAAAGCATCCTACTAAAGAATGACTGGGTCAACCAAGAAATTAAAGAAAAAGTTAACGACTGACTGAAACTAATGAGAGTGAAATTAAATTCGTTCAAAACCTATGGGATGCTGCAAAGGCAGTTCTTAGAGGGAAATACATAGCCATCCAGGCCTCTCAAAAAATTAGAAAAATCCCAAATGTACAAGCTAACTTTACACTTAAAGGACCTGGAGAAAGAACAGCAAATAAAGCCTAAACCAAGCAGTAGAAGAGAAATAATAAGGATTAGATCAGGAAATCAATGACATAGAAACCAGAAGAGTAGAACAAATCAATGAAACTAGAAGCTGGTTCTTTGAAAAAATTAATAAGAGCAATAAACCCCTAGCTAGACTTATCCAAAAGAAAAAAGAAAGGACCCAAATTAATAAAATTATGAATGAAAGAGGAGAGATCACTACCAACACCAAGGAACTACAACAAATTTTAAAAACATATTATGAGCAACTATACACCAACAAATTAGGCAATCTGGAAGATGTGGATGCATTCCTGGAAACTTATAAACTACAAAAACTGAAATAGGAAGAAATAGAAAATCTGAATAGACCCATAACCAGCAAGGAAATTGAATCAGTAATAAAAAAACCTCCTCCCCCACCACCAAAACAAGAGTCCAGGGCCAGATGGCTTCCCAGGGGAATTCTACCAACCACTTAAAGAAGAAATAATACCTGTTCTACTGAAGATGTTCCTAAAAATAGAAATGAAGGAAACTTCCAAACTCCTTCTTTGAGACTAGCATTACTTCGCTCCCAGAGCCAGACAAAGACCCATCAACAAGGAGAATTAGAGACCAATATCCCTGATGAACATGGATGCCAAAATACTCAACAAGATACTAGTCAACAGGATCCAACAGTACACTCAAAGGATTATTCACCACCACCAAGTGGGATTAATTCCTGGCTGCAAGGGTGATTCAATATT